ATGCAGAATGATGTATCATCAGGTGTTTGTTTTTCAGCTTTCCCACTCATGGAAGGACCATCTATTGCTCTCTTAATCAGAACAGGTATTGCTCTGATTAAGGAAATTTTGCGTCAGGGGACAACATTTGAGATAATCAAAATACAGCTTATTGCTGTTTAAAAAAAAAAATCATATTTGAAGGGTAAAAATGAAAATCCAAATTTAGTAGTGGGGTTTTTGCTGCCCATATTCAATATAAACAGAATTACCTGTGAGTGTGTGTTGTCAAAATTTAGGCATCATTTATTTTTTTTAATTTAGTTTTATTTTTTTTTTCCCTCAGGGGTTTGCGTGGACAAATGATACACAATTCTAGGTTTTTGACACTTATGGAAATTTCTGGTTTATTATTTGCATTTCAAGAGAGACAAGAAGTGTTTTTAAGAAAGCACATTTTCTAGTATTCTATGATATGACTTTTTCTTTTCTCTTTCTTTTCTTTTTTTTTTTCAAAGAATTAACTAATCGAGGTCCATAATAAAGCCCCCTGCGTTCAACAGCTAGGACTTGGCAAGAGCAGTTTTACTTTAACCAGAATGTTATAGTTACACCTGTAGTACATCTACGAGAAAAATTACCATTAATTATTTTAGGATTCTGTTGAGACTTTTTTTGTCATAAATAAAGTTCAAGTACTAATCCATTTTAAGGCCACAGAGTATCAGAAGTTTATCTTTAACACGATAAATCTTAAGCCAGCAGTATTTATAGGGGGAAGAACTACATTGACTGCACTAAAGCCTCATTTGTGCTTCATATTTGATAAAAACTGTTCTGTAATGCAGCATAAAATGTTTTAGAAGGTAAGCAGGTGATAAAGTTAAGAAAATACAACTATTTTATTTTTCTAGGTGGAAAGAGATGTTTGAAAAAATGAACTTCTAAGGATTAAAATCCTGATATTCATTTATTTTCCAGTTGGTGGACAAGTGCTTGTTATCTGGGATCTGTTTGAAATAAAAGAATAAAGCAGAAAATATCTTCTGACTTTTCTAAACACTTTGGGTTATTTATTACAAGTCATATGATTATTTCAACATTTACCATTAATATCCCATATCACATGATTTCCTAATATCACACAGCCCTAATGCAACACAATGAGAAGTTGTGGTATTTTGCTCATTTGTATTTCAAATAAAATTCTGCAAAAAGTATGTTGACCTTTTTCAAAACTGTAATTTTTTTCTTTATGTTCATGTCGGATCAGTTCTTTGTACCAAACTCGTAATTAAGTTAGACTTGATCATTTGCCAGAGCTTCTAATTTGACTTTTGAAATGCAGGAGTTTCAGATTTTGTTTTTAATGAAACTAAATCTCACCTGTTTGTGTAATTTCCAGTCTGTACTCTAGCTTTCATGCTGTGACAAGACAAAATGCCTGGAGTGAAATAGTGTGATGGGATTCCTAGTGAAAATCAGGGTGCTCCTCTGTACCACGGGTGTGCATTTAGGTTTTTCTTTTCAGCGTCTTTTGTAAAATCTGATATGAATGTAAGGAGTTAGCTCGGTTTCATCTCTACTGTATGAAATATACAGTTATCTATTGTACGTTATTTTAATTTCAAAGCTGAAATAACTGCATTGCTTCACTCATTAGATATACAAATGGTGTTTTAAAGCACCACAAGGTAATTTTTAGAGTTGGAACCTCTTGCAACACAACCTTTTGAAAATAGCACTGTTGTAAACACCGACTGCCCTCTGGAAGCCACGCATCCCACAAAGGCAGTGCGTTGTCACACTTTAAGCACATGGAAGACGTCTGTCATGACCAAATCTCTAGAGGGGTGGATAGTATTGCTTATTATTTAATCCACAATGTACAGCAGCCTTTTCTATTTTGCAAGCCATGTCCTGATCTGATTCCTGTTTTCTCTTCTGATAAAGTTTCCCTTGCCCTTTTTTGCTAGCTCTGCCATGTTTAATAAAGCTTTTGAAAATAAGAAAAAAAAATCTGTATGGCTATTGATGCCGGTGGCTTGAAATTGGGTTACGTTTCTAGCTGTCACTGGGAACAGGAACTTGTCAGTGGGGTTTTCCAACTAGAGCCAGTTGGTGGAGACCAGTTGGCGGACCCCTAAATCATCTCATAAATGCTTAGATTACCATCACACTGATATTTTGTTATCTACGCTGTCTCCAAACGGAATGTTGATGACACTTTAAATTCCTAATATTTCTTTTAAAGAGGACTATTGACAGGCACTACATCTATAAAGGTGCTTATAAAGATTGATTCTTGCTACATGTCTGCTTTAAGATCTAATTAAGTTGAAATCAACCTAGTACCGGTCCATATGGGCTGTGTAAGTCGAGCCTTGTGTGCATTCTTAGTTTGAGTCCACCTGTACTCATTTTTAAACCCCTGTGACTAGAAAAAGTTTAAAATCTGATGAGAATGGAGCTCCTGTGGGCTCCTGTGGAATATTTTTGACTTCATAAAGAGGTCAATCTGCCAAGAGGGCTTAACGATTCATTACAAAAGACATTGCACTGGGACTTTAACTCATTATTAGAAAGATTAATGAGATTTATGTTGAATTAATCTCTGGATAATACAAACTATAAGAAATTGCAGCTTTTTGGGTCGTTTTAGGCAGTAAATCCTCACCTGCAATATTCGCTGTGAAAACTATAATTATTATACTTTTACAAATAAAAAATCTAAAAGTGCTTCACTACTACATCATCAAAATTAAATCATAAATAAATAGGGCCAATAAAAAAATTATAAAGTAACATTTTTGTCAAGTTATGAAAATGTTTTCATATTTTTTAAGTGAGACTCTAAAGGCAAAGTCATAATGATGTGAAATTTTTAATCTGTTGAAAATGCAGCAAATAGAGCAAACTAATTCTGAATTGAAATGACACATTATATATTTAATAAACAAGTTCAACATTTAACCCCTTAAACATTTAAATGGGCCATGTAGCTTTTCTAAAATCTTAAATATATTTCAGCACTGTCCATGCTAGGCAAAAGATTCTCACCATTTGATAACTAAGGACTAAAACCAGTCTCTACATTTTATAAAAGTTCATGTAACAAAAAGTGAAATCTGTTTCATCTACAAAAGGAATGATCCAATAGACCATTTACATGAATCAATGTCATTTATCTGGCTCTATATACCGACAGGTTTATTTGGTGGAGGTTTTTTTTTTTATATTTATGTTCAGTTGAATTAAATTAGTTTGGAAATTGGTGTTTGGTTTGGTTGATTTTAACTAGTCTCTTTTGTATGTATTTGGTTGAGTTATTGTCAAATTGTCTGAAATAAATTCCTATTTATTCATTAATTTATTCATCTGCACTGTTGTAGAAACAATGCAGGTCTTTGATTATCGCTGATGTAATATAGGATAAGGTCATCTAGGCGTGGTCTAGTCACTTCTAGTGACACATACAATATGTAAGAAGGATCTGTCCTTAGATGACCCCTGAGGATCCGACCACTGAGTAGACCTGCTGCTTGTAACAATGTTGTCTTTATAAGAGTGACTGTTTCAGTTCCAACACAATATCAGTGTTCCCTTTATTATGTTAGTATGGTAAAAATCTAATGGATTTCCTTAGCAAGCTGACCTACAGTACATAGTAGGGAAGTGGTGGCCTAGGGTTTAGGGCATAGGACTTTGAATCCTGAGATTGGGAGTTCGATCCCCCACTCCCCCAGACTGCCACTCTGGCTCCCTGGTTAAATGCAGAGATAAATTTCTCCAATGTGAGATCAATAATGTTCAATTCTTTAATTGTAACCTTAAATGTTCTTCCTGGATAAAAACTTTCCAAAACAGCAGCAGCAATCAAATTGATGCATATTAAACATGGTGTGATAAATTGAAGGAATAACTTAAGTAAAGGAAACACTTGATTGGATGAAGGCTAATTAGATGTTGAGATGCAAGATGATTAGCAACCTTTTCACAGATTTATTCCCTATATAATACAACCTAACAGTGTTAAGTTATAATTTACAAACATCTACTGCATAACAGGTAGAATTACCTTCTTTCTTTTGATCCTTTCTTGCAAGTGCTGAAAGTATATAACAAAAGTAAAAACTGATAAATGATCAATGTTTATGTTGACAAAACATCTAAAGTGAACCACAGCTATTTTTCAGCCTGCACATGTACCCCATTTAAATTGGTACGTTTTGGTGAAGAAAAAAGCAAATAATCCTATGTTTTAATTGGGGTTCTTTAAAATACTTCATTCAGGTTTTCTCCTTTCTACTGAGCTGAGAACATAATGGTTCTATAGTAAGAGCAGGGTTGGATGTTTGATTTGTGATCGTGACCTGAAATGCTGCAACATAACATAGGTCTGCCTGTGATGTAACAGACGTCCTTCTATGCCTCAGCTAAGTCCGCCGCATGTTCCCAGTGTATATAATGAGAACGGTATAGCCCATAAAGCCTTTCCTGTGTGTACGAAAAGTGATGCTTGTTTCCCTCACTAAATGACACATTTTGATTAACATTTGGCATTAGAGGGATGCTGTACAAGCCTGAATTTTATTCATTTATGAAGCTAGCCATCCAAGCGAGCAAAACAGGCTAATAGATGGTTGAACACCAAGGTGCTTTTTCCTGCTCCCCTCAGCGGGATCCGCCTGTTGTTCCAAATCTTTTCTGTTCTGCTCTAATTGTTTTAACTCGCTCTCCTGGTCCTCCCCTGAGACTCGCTCGCTCTAATCACAGCACAGAAATAGGGGAATACCCAGCGGTTGTAAAGGAATCAGGATGAAACCCAAAGGCCTGAGGGAATACCGAAGTAACATCCCAAAGCAGTCACATGTATGACCTGGTTTACCCATGTTGTCTCAACCGTGTTAGATGTTAAAATCACAGAAACTGTTGTTTTCTCTAGCTGTGTTTGACCCTTAAACCTTTCAGTTTGGGCATTTCCTCAGGCTTAAACAGGCTGTTTTTTTCTTTCTTCACAGGATGAAACTGGTGCCTATCTCATTGACAGAGACCCTGCATACTTTGGGCCAGTGCTGAACTACTTGAGGCATGGCAAACTGGTGCTCAACAGGGACTTGGCAGAGGAAGGTAATGTCTTACCGTCTGTAGAGGCAGCCTTTAACTCTGCTTTTCTTGCCCTCTCCCTGGGGAGAGCAGCGTTTCAGTGGATGCACATGTCTAAAATCAAGATACGCTTTTCTGTTTTTAGGTGTTTTAGAAGAAGCCGAGTTCTACAACATCACATCATTAATAAAACTCATCAAGGACAAGATCAGGGAACGTGACTGCAAAACATCACAGGTATCTAATATTTTCGACCATTTTGAAAACCAGGATCAGGCATCGTTTGAATTTAAACGAGTCAGAGTCCTCGCTTTGATTCTGGTTCCTATCAATTCCAATTCTTTAAGAAGTTACCTAAATTACCTGTCTTGATGAAATTGAATTTAATTCCTTCAACGTCTAACTTGGTGTGAACATTATGATAAGTTACAACAGCATATAAATATCAAACTTATGAATAATGTAATCTTATGAATTTTCACACTTGAACTTTGACATGGCACTTTGTTTAAAACCTCATTAAAACACATTTACATGTATCCATTGTTTGATGCTTCAGGTACGTGTGCCATATAAAAGTATTTAATTTTATTTAACTAATCCTGACTGTGGATTGTTCTAGACTGAGTATCTGAGCTGATGGAAAAAGCAGCACAGTCATCCTGAGAGTTTCTACCCTCAGCGTCATGTACTGCACCTCGGTTCCACACAAATAGACATGGAAGTAGTAAAATTGGACTTTTATGGACAGGAAAACAAGGCAATTTTGTACTCAGTCATTCAGTTAACGGGCTTCATTAAATGAAACGGTTTTCAAATGAACTAAAATCAATAATGGATAAGATTACGATTGAAATTATTAAGAAGTTCTGCAGATCTGCGTTAAAAAGGGTTTTCATTTGAACCAGAACGTGTAGGAAATGACGCCGGTACCTGTTAAGATGTAAAATTAGACGATAGTACGGAGAAGGCTCTGGTTACCCCAGAGGAAGTTGCGCTACGAGTTTAGAGGAGGAACAACCTCAGGGAGCCAACCTTGGCACAACACCGGTGGTCAAAGACGAGTCTATCAGAGTTTGATAGTGCTGAATTATGTCGGCCGTGTGCCGTCCATTGGGTAAAATAATCTCTGATCTCTACTGATCTTCTTTTATTTCACTTTTAGCCAGCCTTTTAAAGGCTGCATCAAAAATAAATGGTTTTGCACACAATGCTGCGGTTTCCTCTCCGCTGATATTAGGAAGCTTCTATTTCTTTTTTTTTAGTTTTAACGGCACTAGTGGATTGTTTTTTCTGGACAGTAGGCTATAAGGAAAGGGGAAATGAGAGAGGGGCAAAGAGACATGCGGGAACGGACCACAGGCCAGATTCGAACCCAGGCAACCCGTGTCGAAGACTAAGGCCTCCACACATGGGTCATGTGCGCTAACCACTGCGCCACCAAAGCACACCCCAGCAGCTTCTATTTCTGGTCTGTGGAGTGGGCATTGAAACTAAATTGAACGATTCTGGTAAAACTGATATAGTCGACTCGAGCCTGTTCTGATTGATTCTTGATTATAAATACCCAAGCCTAGAGCCACAACATGAGTCAAACAGTTTTATCCTGCTGCTGTTGTTGTACTGCAAAGGAATTCAAACCCTGTTAAATTTTTCACATCTTAAAATAAAGTTGGACTCACTGATGGCTCCAGTTTAAAACAAAATGAAATACACAATATTTGAATAGTTTTATCTCAAAATGCTTTAACCTGCCCAAACAAAAGTTATTAATATGCAAAGATGCATTCTAATATACAGCAGAGCAGGTTGAGTTCAGCAGGCCCAGTGAGCTGAGATGACGGGATATTCCAGGGACAGGGGCGAGTTTTGTGAAAGGAAAGCTACTTTGTAATCAGACAAAACCGCATCTCTTCTTTTGTATTTAAGTTTTTTGGACAGATTAAGTCTTTTATTCGGGCTTTGGTGTCAAGGCATTGCGAAGAGTTGCAGGCAAAGAGAGAGAAATGCTGCTGGGTGCAGAGTTATAGCTCTATAAAATCCGCTTCTTTCCAGCCATAATCCTCCATCCTCCGAGCGGGAATGGCATAATTCAGGGATTCAGACTCCTTCACTCTTCTTTGTGTGGTTGAGTCCTTCAATGGCTGTGCCCGATACTTACGTGTCCTTATTTCCTTTTAGGTTCCAGTAAAGCATGTGTATCGGGTGCTGCAGTGCCAGGAGGAGGAGCTGACACAGATGGTGTCCACCATGTCTGACGGCTGGAAGTTTGAGCAGGTAAAACTCTTCCCTCTGGGTCTGAGCAGCAGTCCTTCTGTCATGAACGTTCCCCTTCATCCTGCTCTGCTAACATTAACCCAAGAAGTCCAACTGAAATGTGATCCTTATCATAAAAACAAACCAAAGGCTGAACAGCATCAAGGATTTATTTTATTTTTTTTCAGTAGTTTTTTTTTTTTCCATGCATACATGATCCGGGCATGCTTTCTGTGCTCTGATTGGTCGTTGCAGCTTGTCAGTATAGGTTACGGGCGGGCCCACCAGTCAGAGTATCTGCTGATTGTGTCAAGGGAGGTGAAGGGAGAGGAGTCTACTTTGCCAAACAACAGCGGAGAGGTGTGTCCCACAACTCTGTGTTTACGGGCTGGTCACTGCATGATCCCCATGTTGTCCATACACACCCCTTTGGCCATTGTTTGTCCCAAGTAGACACATAGCTGTTGATTTTTTGTTTTTGTTTTTTGGGAGCCAGTTCTTTTCTGTGTTCATTTGTTCTGCTTGCTCACTGATGAAGCAAAGAAAACCTGACACCTTTGTTCATGTCTGTGATTCAAATTTGTTTTTATTTATTATCAGGTTGTTACAAAAGACCAATCACTGTTCTGGGTTGACTTTAATTTAGCTAACAAAGGTGAGTTTTATCAATGGAAGTCGACCTTTTAAAAGAAATTAATTGGTGTGTTTTTAGAAGTGACTGTAATCGGTCGATCCGTCTAAAGCAGATGTTCAGGTCAGATTTGAAACAAGAATCTCAGCAGAATATCTTCTCAAAATAGCTTCTATTACCTTATTCTTAAATTAAAACAAAAAGTTTAGATTTACAACAGGAGTTTGTAACGTTAGGAAGGTGAGGATATTTGGTTCTTTTCTGCCTTGTTGATGCTGAACATCAGTGAAGCTGCTTCACAACAACAAGTATCTGGCAGCAGGGCGTAATGAGGCGATGCATGTCTGAACATGCACACCTGGGTACAGGCGGGGATGCATGCAGTCTGCAGCACACTCGGCCACAGCAGGAGCTTCTGATTGCTTGAATGCAGCGTCCTTTCAAGGATCACATGACTATTGGCTGTCTTGTGTTTTTCATGACAGGAACAGTGGATGTTATAGAGCAATGGATATGGATTCAGAACCTGTTTTGGTTTTCAAATACAGCTCAAGGTTTTTTCAATAAAAGGTGTTTTTCCTCGAAATGTCTCTCCCTTGTAGCTGTGGGGAAAATCCTAAATTATCAATCTACATGTAGTAAATACTGGCCAGAGGCGTTTGCCTTTGTGGTTGCTGCTTTTCAAACATTTGCTTGTTCTTCTGGCATATTTTGAATAATTTTCACCCAGCATGTTGCTCATGGCTAAATCCCTCCGTCTCTCCTCTCTCAGTAGCTCTGTGCTGATCGTAGCATTTTTGTCTCATGAATGCTGGTCTGTGTCTTTACTTTGTTTGGTTCCTCTTTAGTGAATCACATTTTATGGTGCTCCACTTTTATAAAGGTAACGGGTCATAAAATAAAATTTTTTGTGATTGCTTTCAGTGGAAGTAATTATATGAAGGCTGGAACTTCAGATGTGATCTAGAAGCACTTAGAGGAAAACTTTTATACCGGTGCTTCTCTAATTTTGGGAGGATTTAAAAGATGGACCAATCTTCATTTATAAAGTGAAAAGCTAGATCTAAAAATATATCCCCATTTAAAAATCATGGCTGCAATTTGTAATAGTTTTTTTTTTATTTTTTTTTATTTCTAATCTTTTGAACATGATTGCTGCTCACTGTTGATAGAAAGCTTCTAAAATATTCTTTTTTAGTTTACCATAAGCCATGTTCAAAGAGCAAGTAAGGTGGTGATGTTTTGAGAGCATCATGAAGCACAGTGATGATGGCATCATTATGTGGGCATCCTTTATATCCTCGGGGCAAAAGGAAGCTGGTTAGCATAAAAGAAATAGATTTTTAGTTCCAAGTTTAGGGCACAATATGTTTTCATTTTTCCTTCCCATTTTCTGGAAGATTGTGGTTCTCTGACATAACGAGGAAAAAACGGGTTCAATGGACGTTTTGCCAGATTACAGGGAAGCTCAGGGTGGATGCTTTTTTTTTGGGACAGTTAATAGTTTAATTAACTTCACAGGTCTTTACAGTTTTTTCTCTGCTCATTGTTTACATTTGTAGTCTTCCATCTTGGGCTAACATCTTATTTTTGCGTTTTTTTTGTTGTTTTTCTCATCTTCTCCTAGCTCGTCAGTATCGGCTCCTCTTACAACTACGGAAACGAAGACCAAGCTGAGTTCCTGTGTGTGGTCTCCAAGGAGTTACACAATCAATCATACGGGACCAACAGTGAGCCCAGCGAGAAGGCAAAGGTGAGCATGAGGATGGTGAAATGGTGAAGTAAAGTCTGTGCTGGATGTTTACTTCTCTGTAACTATGGTTTATTATTTGGAAAATCCTTACAGAAAATTGGTTTAGGAATATAAATTTATTCAGTAAAAAAATCTGAGGTTTAGTATCGGTAAAGGAGAAGAAAATGTATAACTATGTGAAACATCTGCTTTATTACCATCTCCCTGCTTCCTTAAGCTTCACTACTAAACCACAAACACACATTTTTAATTGAAGTGAACTTCAGGGAGGATTTATGTCATGTTTAATTTGACCCAGTGTCTAACCTGTTTAATCCGGTAGTTTTAATGCAGGAGCTTTAGGACAGAGCAGCTCCGGACCGGTACAGCTATTGGCAAGGTCTCACATGTTCTTTAAGGTTTCAGAAAAAATGACGGCTACACAAAAAAGTTTTCAAAAAGAAACTGGAATTAGGCCAATGCACTGACTTATAATAAACATAACAGCCCTGGAAATGGTGATTTAAACACATTGACCTTCCTATTTGTACTGTATGCAAGTTAAGGCAACAATCTGATAAAAACTTAGGTTTAATCTTTGTGTAGCAGTGACCGTTTTGAAATGCTAAAGAGAACCCTGTAATCTTTAGAGGTAATGTAGTACCAAAATGGCCGATCATTTTTTTTGTCTTTTGGGATTGTCCAAAAATATAACCATACTGGAGGGAAGTAACCAATGGAACATGTAAGATTATCGGAGTGAAAATGCACTATTCCTTTATTAAATACCTAAATCTATTCCTCACTAACACGTTTATCTGCTAAAGATCCTTATGATATGTATTTAAAAAGCTATAACCCGGAGATGGCTACAAACTGACCCTCCAACCTTACGGGGAAGTGTAAAAGAAATCTATAATATGGAGACACTGACTTATCTCTTGAGACTGGAACTAGAGAAATGTTTTGAACGCTACGAAAAATGGATAATGTATGCTCTGAACCTAGAATAGTAGGACACAATCACGTGATGTAAGGAAATGAGCGAGCTGTGACACCATGATGTTACACCCATGAAAATATTTTTCTTTTTTCTTTTTCTCTCATTCTTCCTTCCTGTTCAAAATTCAAAAAGAATACCCTATAATGGGTTTATATGGAGGTTAATTAACATTTCTTTAAGAAAACAGTTCTACTAGTCAAATTATGCCTCCCATTCTAATTCAATAAGAGTTGTTTCTTTAAAATAATGACCATATGAAGTATTATTTTTTCTACCCAAATTTGCATCACAAATGTCCAACATGTGTCAGTTACAGGCATGTAAGGGCTGCTTTAGATCCTAATAATCCACAGAAAAAGAATATTAAATGGTTAAAGAGTAACCCCTTTTTTTTTGTTTATAAAATCAGAAATAAAAACATTAAAGTCATTTTCTAAGAAAATCTAAGGATCTACTGGAGGTCCTGGTTGCTATGTTGGGTGTGTTTGTTTTCACCTCCGTCTTAGCTTGCTATCACAACAGGCCCAACAGAATTTCTCAGTCAAACGAATTGTCCTGTAGAGAAAAACAAACTACCTCTATAAAAAACATTTTGCACATGCCCACTCTTATTTAAGTTCTGCAGGAGCGATGTTTAAAAATAAACGATTGACATGAGGTGGAAGGCAAGGAGAAGAGCATTAAACGATGGATGGGACTTATGGTCAGAGGTCATCCTTGACTTTATGTTGTGGTGTGGAGGATGTAGGAGCCACTTGTTTGGGAGACGTCAGCTCACACCTTGGAATATTACACACTTGCTTGTTTTCCCCTTCTCTAAAAAAGTTTTATTGGAAGAAATGTATACCCTACATGATAAAATGTTTTATGGTTCCATTAATGGTAAAATGCATACAACCGAATTTTAAACACTGCTGAATGGACTTGTCTCATTAAAAAAAGTCACCCATAGCTTCAACATACCTCGTCCTATTGATGTAACCTCTTTTCCTTACTCCTGTGGTTATAGTTTAGACATTTATCACCAAAAACCAAGAGGTCTGCACTTCAAAAACATGTAGGATGTACTTTTAATAAATGCTATTTGGGTATGACCAGTTTGTAAAATTCCCCATTATACCTTATAGTTTCAGCACTTAAACTAGTTCCTTTTTTTGTGTTTTTTTTTTATTTTTTTATTCCTCCTCTCCATACTTAGAATTTGTTCTCTCTATTGGTTTTATAAGGTGCCTTCCTTTGTGTTTCCTCGTGGAGATCAGGGACTGGAAGACTGATTTGGAAATGAACTGAATAATATTATCCCTTGTTGACTCTTTGATTGCTCACCGGTCTCTTTATTCCCCTCTCACCAAACCTCCTCACTTTCCCCACATAAACCGTCCTAGAGACGCTTCTGGTTCAGCTCAGTTTGAATGCTTCCAGCAATGGGAAGCATCAGAATACAGGCTGGAAATCTGCTGCCTTGGCGATCAAATACCAGATGTTTAACTTCAGGTGAAGCTCTCTGTGAGACCAGAGGGGAAGAGATCCATTCCTTTCCCACCCTTATAATTATTGACATACTTGCAGCTTCGTCTAATGGAGGGCACTCTGAATCATAGACTGCTGCACTTCTGAATCAAGCCCTCTGAGGCAGACATAGACAGGAAAGGGTGCTTTAAATGGTGCAGCAGTGGTGTGTTTATCTGAGGTAAAATTATATACCTTAAAATAGGAGGATTTGGAGAAAACCTCCATTTTTTTCCCTCCCTGTTCTTAGACAGTGAATTTTAACATAATGTAGATTTATTTTACATTAAGAGAAACATTTCCAGCTTTTCTCATTTACTTATAAATGAGGTAATTATAAACCCAAAATTCTGTTTCTTGCATATTAGAATAATGGAAATATTTCACTTTAATTTATATACTTTTGCTTTCTGAAATATTGAAAATAATTATTGTTTAATAATAACCTGCACTATACGTAATAGCTTAAAAATATATAACACTTTATAAATTCATTTTTAAAATGTTCAAATATATATACTCCAATAAAAGTGGAAATATGAAAACTTTAAAAGACTTAAAAATGTGTATATTTTCTGTCTATATCAACAACTGAGAGCCTTCCTTCAGCTTCAGACTTTAAGGGAAGAAGTAAAAATTTTAAATATGATTAAAAATTAAAAAGCAGGACAAATATAGCTGCTTCTCTTTTCTTATTTTCTGGTTGAAGCTACACTTTAGCTTGTTTTGAGGGGATGGTTTCTTTCTATTGAAATGCTTGTATTTCACATATTCCTTAGCATTTTCTGCTTGATAACCTCTTCAGTGTCTTCATATCTGGTAGAGAAATAAAGTGTCAGGGACAAATGTTTAGTATTCATATTTGTTGCTTTTGGATCATAACCAGTATGGATGTTCGTCCAGATTTTACTTTATTTGACTGATTTCTATGTTTGTTTTCAGATTCTTCAGGAACGAGGCTCCCGGATGTGAGAAGCACTCAGTATTAGGAGCTCCAGGTGTTAATGATGCAGCCGAATCATATCTGTGGAAGAGCGTTGAGCACAATGGAGATTTAGGGTGCGGGGAGGGGGTGTGTGCATTTATTTGTCTTCCCTCCACTTTTTATTTTTTATTTCTTGATGTAAATAAGTCTGTTTACTGACAAGTCGTGCCTGTACATTTAAACTGGACCTTTTCTTTTTCTTTTTTTGAATTGGCGGCAAGTATTTTGAATTTTATTTTATTTTTTTTTTCTTATCTGCAAGTGAGGAATTGTAATCTACTAATGTTTTATGCTATGAAACATGGCCATCATCACATAGGGCCAATTAGTCACTCAGGGTCATCTAATGGGTTTGTAATATCGTTCAACTCTGGGGTCTTGTAAGGGATCAGAGTGGTTTTTAATAACTCCTAGTATCAAAACATGAAATCAATGCTTGGAGGCATCAAGAAGGGAATTGTGCTTTTACACCATAATGAGCTAATTCAACCTATCGGATACAAAAAAATCACCTGACAAAATGTCTATCCAAAGATTTTGAACATTTAAACAGACAACTGTGATCACCAGGGTCCCGGTGGTTCATTTTATTTATTTTTTCCTCTATTCCCATCCGTTAGTGAAAACGTCGCTGTGATGCAAGCAGCAAAATACCTAAAAGCTCCCCTCTTACATTGGGGAGTCCGCTAGGGATATCGCATCAGTTCTTGATCAGTTTAAGGGCGATTGAGTAAAAGCAAGGGCCGGTAGAAGTGTAAGACGATCAGTTTAAGGATACATGCGATTAAACAAAAATTTCTAATCTGATCCAGCTGCTCTTATTTCAAACAGATTACCATTATTTATACAAATGTCTTGGCTTAATTATGATGCATAAAAGCTAAAATATTAAATAAACGACCCCCTAATTAAGGCGCCTATCGAGTCCACTATTCTTAATCTGCTCTTCATAAGGTAAACGCAACAACAAGCTAACATTAGCTGAGTAATTAGGCTATATCTTCTGATAACTATACTGCAGTCTGCTGCTTTATAGACATTCTGCTTACAGCTTGCAGATATATTTTTAAAACAACCTGAAATACTGCTAGACTAATATCTATTTGCTTGCTTTCAGCCAGCTGACCAACAGTGCACAGGTCATAAATGCGAACTCCACACCTCAGGTGAACTCAAACCTTAGAAACAGAGTTACATGAGATTTTAAAATACTTTTGACCGGCCCATGTTTGTACTACAGGATCAGGACCTTCATAGTTTCTGTTTTTAACAAATCAAAACATTTTAAAATACGAAGATGTGTCAGAAAGAGTACTTTGTAGCATACCTTGAACTGTGGGGTTTAGAGGAGTACTTTAATTTTGCTAGTATGTATAATTCTGAAATGAACTGCCAAAAAAAAAAAAAAATTATTGAAATGTGAATTATTTTATGGAATATTTTTTTATTCAGTGATTATTGACCTCTTGAAGAAAGTTAGGGTAAATGTTTTCTTTTCCTCACTCCAGTGATATCAGAGTTCCCTTTAAGTTGTTTCTTTTAGTGCTTAAGGGATCGTCCTTCATTTTTCCTGAGGAGAAAATACACTGCGGATGGACTGGAACCGTTTCAGGCGGAGGTGAAGGACTCCCTTCATATCAACATGATTTAGTCTCCGTGTAAATAGCAAAAACTCCAGCTTGATATTTAAATCATTTTAAGAAAAAGCTGCACGTTTTGTACACTGTATAGAGAACACGACTTCAAAGGGAGGTTGTTTATACTGGATTTTTGGTTTTAAAGATTAAAAAAAATGAAGCGGATTGTGATGTTGACTTGCTGATGCTGATTTAGGATTCCTTTCTCTGAGATATTTTGATAACCAATAACAAAGCTATACTTGGCTGGCTATGAAATTGACTGTTACATTTAAAAACATTATTTTTCTTCTGAGTGATATCGAGCAGTTAAAATTATCAGCTTCATAAACAGGATAAGAAGCACTACAGTGGAAGACTGTGCACTCTGCTTAAGGCCTGTAATGTAAATACTGCATTTTAGAAAACCTTTGTTGTTTTAAGTTTGATGTGTTAATTTTTTATATATATATATAAGATAGGTTGGATATTTTATTCACAAATAATCATTTAGTGTTGCCTTTTTTTTCCCAGTGACCAAAATCCAATGTCTTATGCTTATTTAGACATTGATCTTAGTGTCAGGGACAAGTAAACATTTCTTAATGCTGGCACACTTTATGTATATAGACTTGTAACGACTCACCAACCTCCATTTAATCACATTCACACAAACACTTGATTAAACCAGTTTTTATATTTCAGAATGAGTATGGATGCATGTTTTTTGACATAGAAATATTTAAATATAAATATATAAACACATGTATAAACACACAAGGGCTTTTAAAAGTGCAAAAGTCGAGATCTGCAAAGAGGTTTTAATCAAAGTAGACTGGACTTTTCCTGCCAGAGCTAGGCTATGTTTACATTTGCTGTAGTATTCTGAAGCCTTCCAATTACTACTGTCTTGCACTCCCTTTTAAACTTCGTCGACCCACTTTGGACTTGTGTGATGTCACCAGTTGCAGCTAGCACTCCCTGGATTATCACTCCGACATGCAAACTAGTGATGAAACACTTGTTCTCTCTGTTCCTAACTGCCAGTTGTTTGTCCCGTGTTGAGAGCATTCTTTGTTTTCCACGTTTCCTCCCATAGCAGAATTTCATTATGTCATGTAACTCATTTTGACTCGGAGCTAAAGCCAGTAAGTTTTGATATATATATCTTTAGTGATTAAAAGTATGTTATGTTTAATTTGCCTGGCTTGGTTGTAACTCTGATTATATTCTGCTATGCGGTTTTTGATCCCCACATACGTTTTGCATTTAATGCTCTCCTCACAGGTTGTTTTTTTAGTATCCAACATTAATAGTCATTCATCTGTTGGACCAACTCCTTAAATCTGTAGCCTAATATTTTTAAGTGCCCAGCTTGTTTTGCATTGGAGTCATTAACCACAGATCACTGTAATGCATGACTGATGATCACATTTTTAATCAATAGGAATGAATGTGTCATTTCCCCCCCCCTCAAACTTAACAGTTGCATCAATGAACATGGTTCTCATATCACTACATGGATCACTTCTATATGATCTTATGCAATGTTAACAATGTACAAACTAAGTATGAGGGGATAAGAGATCTATATGGTCTTGCATAAATAAATCCAATAAAAAAGTTGTCATTCATAACTGGCTGTGCACTTTTATTTCTAAGACATTCCTACAAGCTGAAAGGAGATTCTTTTAAGCTTTTAATCCCAGAAACTGGATATTTTCTTCATATTTCATTCCAGTTACACTAACCTAGAGTCTGAAATTTACCAATTTCCCATTGAATGGCAGGATTTATTCATTTACAGATCTTTTTTTTATTGCCTTTTGATCACAAGTATAAAAATGGAAGAAAAAAAAAAAAGTCAACCAAAAGCCTTCTTTTTAAAAAATCTGTCTTAATAAAATTCTTCTTTTAAGTTTGCATGACCTTTCATGCAGAAATAAAGTTAGAATCTTTATTTTATTTATTTTGGATTTAAAAAAATACCTCGATCAAAGAAGCTGCCTCCTTTTTTATCATTCAGAGAAAAATACTTCGATCTTCCCTCAAAGGGAAAAGGCCAACAGCCTGCTTAAGTGTATCTGTAATTTTTTAGATAATGTGCAAATATATATACAGTTGTTAGTTAGTATTGTGTTCAGTGTGTGCACATAAATGGTAAAATGAAAATGTGTGTGTTTGGGGCGAGTAAAATATTAAAAAAAGGAATCAAGATCTCTAATCAGCAGCAAGCTGAATTAAAGTGCACAGGTTTTATTTAATTGCCAAAAACCAATTTCATAAGAATAGGACACTCTGTTGGAGCCTGAATTACATGACTTATTTCTGCGCAAATTAAAATGTTGGGAGAAAAATGCAATTAACCCCTTCATTAAAAAAGAACATTGACTTTAACATTGAGTGGGTATTCATATCTCTATCTTATCTATCTATCCATCTATTCTCATCAGGCTGTAACTTTGTTGCAAGCTTTTTTTTTTAAATAATCAAAATATATTGTATATGCAGTCATGCCACACATCTGACATTAAAACTAAGTCATTGTTTGCAGACATAAAGGATCTAATTGTATTAAGGTATCAGTCAGGAATAGGTAATTTCCTTTTTTTTTCTTTAATTTTAAAATTATTTAGGGAAGAAAATTGTATAGCAGGGTTAAAAGGGAGAGAGAACAAAATAAACATGAGGAAAAAAAGGAGCAGGAAATTTATAGAGGAGAGATGCATATACAAGAAGTCCATAAAACTTTGGACTATACTGAACTTACTGACATGCGTTTATCCAAACATTAATGAAAATACAAGGCAGAAACTCTTGTGGTCATTGAATTACGTTTTGGTGATTATGTTTCGCAACAGGAAATGTTTCTTCCTAAAAAGAAAATAAAAATATAAATGCATGGCTGTAGCTCATCTGCAAAAACTTTGTGGATAATATCTTATCGATTACAGAAGCCAAAATATTACTTTGGGTGTGACATGTTTGTGATGAAAAAATAACTTTCCAACATAATGCCCTCAGCAAAACAGGAACAGTACACTCTATGGGGTCACTTTAGATGGAACTGTGCTTTTATTTAGTTTTTTTGTACTGAGGTGGGTAAATTACCAAACCACTCATAAACACCAGTTGATGTCTAAGGTAAAGATTCATCATGTTCTGTTCACTTATGCAAATAAAATCACAGGAAGGCAGTGGGGCCAATATCCGTCTCAAATAAGTGGGATTCTATCGATGGTGCTGATGAATGTTTGAAAAAAGAAGGGTGTGTATATATAGTAGTGATACCAGAGCTCAAGGATAAAAAATATGTAAAATAGGCCTATAGAAGCTTTAAAAAAAACACCTTGAGGTGTTGAATTTTTGAATTAATTTACTTATATTGACAGTTTTGTTTCCACATTGTTGTTTTAGAAACTCAACACTGTTTTTATAATCTTTTTAGAAATCTTATTCAGTGGTAAACACTCAGCTATCTCTATAGTTATGCTGCTATAGGCTTAGACTTCTGGAGGACATAGGGAGCCCTACTTCATCTTTATGCTTCATTCTATCTCTATTCCTCCACTCTGCAGAATCTGTTAGTTTAATCGCTAATGTTCTGCTCTCTCTGCCTTTTCTCATAGTAGCTTCGCCTCGTCTGTTCCTGATTGGCGGTGACACTTTCCTGGAGAGAAATATCAGCTGTGATGCTGCCATAAACACCTTTGTTTATAGATGTTAGAGATGGCCTGTTTTCCAGTGTAGTCCTCATTCTCTGACTGTGACTTGCTGGATGTGCTCTCTTCATCCTCTGAGATGGGAGTTGGCTCAGAGCTCGTCTGCCCGGCTGTGTGTTTCCTGGACGGGGCCGCCTTTTACAGCTGCTTTTTGTATCTCTGCTTCTGTCTCCTTGAACCCCAGTCGACC